TGGCATTGGTGCATAATTGTGATCTCATTCCTGTATTATCATACACAAATTTGCTGTTGGGGCTAACCCATTTTGATTGCTATTCTATTCATTAAAGAATCCCTATTTTTGATTCTTTGCATCAAACAACTCTTATCTATACATTTCAAAAAAAAGTGACGAAAAATAAAAATTTGACACACACTAAAAAAATGATGAAACTAAAAAAAAAAGTGATAAATTAAAAAGTGACAAACACTCAAAAAAATGACATACACTAAAAAAAAGTGTCACGGTTTAAAAAAAAAGTGACAAACAATAAAAAAGCACAAGAAAATCCAGTAAAAGGGATGGAAAGATTCAAGAGCTAATTCAAAAAAATAATGTCTTAATGCCATTGGAAACTTTCTATCTTCCTTTCCCCAAACAACGTACAATCAAAAGAGCACAAGAAAACATAAACTATAGTACCTTGCTCCAGCAGAATGAATATAATTCACAGAATTTTCTTCTTAGATCATTCAATAAGTTATAACTTACTTATATCAACAAAAACTCAAAATAAAAAAATCCGCTTTATTGTATAAGCAACCCACAAACATAGAGAGATTTGCAAACATGAATTGATGATAGTTTGAATACAGATTTCTTGAGAAATGGCGTGTGTGGATAGCATTAACAATAACAATCTTATAGGAAAAATGTAAGAGTCCAGTATTAATAGAGACAAATTGAGCTACAAGATTTTTTTGATTTTGGAAACTAGTTTCTCTTCGGTTACGAAGATCAGAAGCTTTGGATTCCAAAACAAATCTCTCGTCATTGAACAGCAAAATGCCGTTGTGAATGACGACGACGATGTTTAGACCTTTAAATACCAGAGAGGTAAAATCTGCATTCTCAGCATGGACGACAGTGGAATGCGCAACATAACATCGGGTAACACACTTTCGTATCTGGAAATGGCGTTGAAGAATAAGTCAGGGAATCCGGCAGCCAGGATGGCGTCAGAGGAATTTTCACGGTGATGCTTTTCGCTACTTAGATCAGAATTGGGTTGCTGAAATTTTTTGATGCCATTCAACTGGGATGTAATGAACCCTAGCTCTGAATTCATTCTTGAACTCTTAATTGAAAATTGAGATTTTACCAACATTGGCTCTGTTGTAGCCATGACTATTACCTTGTTTGTAAAATTTCAATATTTTTCTTTATTTTTGCAGAAAATGCTTCAAGAAAACTGGGAAGAAGAGGGTTAGAAGAGGAGAGTAAGTGAGGTTGAGTGGGT